GATTCTGAGATATGACTCCGAACGGATGCACGGACGGAGATCGAAATATAAGTCCCCGTTTTCGGACTTCGTCCGAACGGACACTAATAACAGGTCAAGTACCCAGGGCAAGAAAATAACAGGTCAAGTACCCTGGGCAAGGAAATAACAGGTCAAGTACCCTGGGAAAGGAAATAACAGGTCAAATGCCCAGGGTAAGGAAATAAAAGGTCAAATACCAAGGGTGAGAAAATAACAGGTCAAATACCAAGGGTGATTAAATAACAGGTCAAATACCAAGGGTGAGGAAATAACAGGTCAAGTACCCAGGGTAAGGAAATAACAGGTCAAGTACCCAGGGTAAGGAAATAACAGGTCAAGTACCCAGGGTAAGGAAATAACAGGTCAAGTAACCAGGGTAAGGAAATAACAGGTCAAGTACCCAGGGTAAGGAAATAACAGGTCAAGTACCCAGGGTAAGGAAATAACAGGTCAAGTAACCAGGGTAAGAAAATAACAGGTCAAGTAACCAGGGTAAGAAAATCTACACAATCATAAACAATGGAGCAATGACATGAAAGGGTACTAACCTGGTCCGTGAAGTAATGACGTTGGACAGACCAACTCATGTGGTCGATGAATTGATGCCATCATATGATTAGATGATCTAGCAAATAAATCAGTTTTGGCTAAGGCATCTTTATGCACATCGGCAGCTTTTTCCTGTTGGATGAAGAAAATGAACATGATGAGTCTATATTGATTCTTGGTTATCTAAACTAGTTATGGCTCTGTGAACAAATGTACTGTACTAGTTTTAGTATGCTGCCTGTGAGGGCGCACTGACCAGACACAGCATAACATTGAAGGATTATAAATACAATAATATTCATGTGAATGCCATACATTTCACTTTAAATCAATAGATTGTAACACAATGTCTATACCATTCATGATTTGTGATTAAACACAAAACAAGAGTGAACCCACCATATGTAGATTTCATAGCGTCATCAATTTTGAAGCCAAAGCTGAACAACAAAAAACAAAAAAACAGAGCAGCATTTTCTGCACGAAGCTTTTAATGAAATGAAAACAGAATCTACTTACTTTTTGTTGCTGATGGTAAATATGCCAAGCAACGTTAACATGTGCAGCACACCACCTACCAGGCTTCTAGGTGATAAAAAAACATTAAATGCACCGTACTCAATGATAATGAAACTACCTACGATATACACAATGATAGCCACCGAGGTGATTCCATCTCTTGTGGCTATCAAATGTGTAGACAATACAGTACATCAAACTAACAACGATTCATGACATCAACTAAATGAAAGCGAGTAATTTATTGATTCATCTCAAAACGAAAATGAATACGATGATAGCGATACGGCCCCGATGAAACAATTATGACAAGCATTGAAAATGCACATTTTAATAAAACTATTTCCCATGATGCACTGCTTTTCCTGTCCCATGATGCACTGTTTCTCATACACAACTCTCTGTTGAGGGGTAACAATATGTTAATTGCTAGTTGCATTGAAAGAAAAATTGAAATCATTTTTTTTTTAAGTGGATTTTTCCACCAAAAATTATCAGTACTGAAAACATGCAGAGAATTGCAATGCATCATGGGATGTCCCATTTTAGACTTGATGTTTTGAAATAGAGGATGGAGCATTGTTGATGTGAGAACTTTATTGTTAATTGAGAACTGTATTGTATCTAAGCTATTAATAAACACTATATGACATCTATATGGTGGGTTCTTGTAAGTATTATCTTATTGTGTGTATTTCTGATTATGTCACAACCTACTACCATTTACTCTGTTCCAATTTCTATACAATTCTGAGTCTATAGCGAATATATAAAATTATAACATGACATGGGCACACTTTACTAATGTTTTTGATATACTCTAGGAGTATATTCAAAATATACCACAGGTATAGTTAAGATATTCTTGGAATATATTTAAGTGCATATCATATGCTTTACTCATCACACACTTTAAGTAGTGCGTATTTGATATATTCTAGGAGTATATTCAAAATATACCACGGTATAGTTGAGATATTCTTGGAATATATTTAAGTGCATATCATATGCTTTACTCGTCATACACTTTAGTAGTACGTATTTGATATATTCTAGGAGTATATTCAAAATACACCACAGGTATAGTTGAGATATTATTGGAATATATTCAGTATGTACCATGGGTATACTCAGCATATATGTATATATTATAGAGGCATTATAATATGCCACATAAACTTAGATATACTCTAAGTGAATGTTGAGAAATTCCATACTGATGGTATACAACATTGTAATACACAAATATGGCGGATAGCCACCATATTAACAATATTCCATATATATATATATCAAACGTCTACAACCAATTGCGATCATGGAATCTGCATAAGCTAGTAAATTGTGACACTCTCTTCAATACTTGTATCTCCAAAAATCAAAAATACAAAAAAGCATGACTTGGGTCAGAATACAAAACGGAAACAAAACTAGAACTGCCCAAAAAGTAAGGTACTTGAATCAGAGTGGAAATATCTTACTGCTCTGGAGGATTGATTTGACTGGTCGCTGGCCCTCCTTCGTAATAGAGTATCAGTCAGTGCCAACTATAAAAAGGAAGTATGAACAGAACAATAACAATATGGCTTATTAAAAAAAAAAAAATAGCCACCGGAAAGGCAGGCAAGGCAGGAGAGCCAGGAACCTCCGATTACATAGAAAATAACAAATAACAATCTTCATAGTGAAGCAATAACTACATACATGTTGGGTTACCAAGTCATGATAAGTTTACAATATTTGTATATTTGATGATAAATTGTCATAACTAGGCTCACAGTGACAATGAATCATTCCACAATTTTGACAGACTACGTGTGATGTAGGCAAAATTCTATACGATATGAAAATCATTGTGAAACATTGAAATTACAATTCCGCCAAAGTGTAAAAAAAAAAAAAATTTCAAATTGGTAGTATGAGGGCGCTGTTATACTAAAGAGTTGAAATGAACGAGTCAGCCCAAGAAACAAAAGATTTGTTTCTGGTCAGTTTGAAGATTGTATGTCACACATTTTTTGTAAAAATGAAGAAGAAAAACATTTTTTTTAACGCAGGACCAAAAACAAGTCATTTAATTTTGGACTTGACGTTCTATTTCCATCCAAAACTGCCAACATATTCAAGTTAGTTATTAAATGAGCGTACTGTAGAAAGAAAACATAGAAAGAATAGAATAGGAATTGTGGGTACATCATCTACTTCATCTTGCATTCATAAGCTGATTTATTATGCTAATTAGGTGGTTAACTAGCTATCAATAATATATCATTCAAGTGTACTCAGCCATAGACTATGTTATTTGTTTAATTAGCTTCATTCACATCTTAATTAATTATTCAATTATCATTTTGAAGGACAAAGTACTGATAACATCTTTGGTTTGGTATACTGTTTTCGCATAATTTGAGATGACATTATGTGGAAAATAATATACAAATTTACTTGAATTATTAAAAAAAATTAATTGCATGAATTTTTGTTTTCACCTATTATTAAAAAAAATATTGCAATCAAGTGTAGCAACATAGAGAGGAGAAAATATAATTTATTGATTGTGAGTTTAATCAATGGATCAATTAATTTTAAAAATTACTCCGGTGAGACTAATAAAAACGGTATTATTACAAAACAAAATTAATTATTAATGGAAATTAATTATTATTAAACACATGTATTTTAATATAACAAACTTTCGATACTAAGTTTTATCTCTGTAGTAGGCACTTGTCAGAAACAAATTACTATATCCTGCATATGTTAATGTGTTGGTCGGTATTACCACTGAGACGTCAACACACACACATTCTAGGCCCCTTGACGGGACTGGGTTTATCGCTTATCAAATTCTCAAAGGAAAATGAGAGGTGTATTTTATGTAGAGTGATTGCAATGATGCATTAAGAGATATGTTATTAAGTGAAGTGTTGCCGCATAGCTACTTCGAAACCATGAGTAATTTATTCAGTTATTATCAAGTGCAACATACATGTATATAGGTAATCGAAACTTTTGAATTCATGTTTGAATTCATATTATTAAAAGTGAACGTTCTCTAACGTTTGAAATGAACGATGTTTAATTTGGTTATATCATAAGGATTTAAACTTTGATATTATTTACCATATTTGGTTGAAAGTCTTCAACAATAGGACTTTGTTATTTTTTAGTTTGAATAATGTTATTTATTATTGATCACTGTTTGTGAAATACAATGTTCAACAATCTGAATGGGGAATACTTCATATTGAATTTGGGTTTTGTAATAAGGACAATCCTTGAATTTTGGTGAATAAGTATTATGCATCATCTTTAAAGGTTACACATCCTGGTACTTTTGGGGGTACAAATTACCAGTATTGTCAATTTTATCATGTTTAACTGTATTTGAGCTGGGAAATTATACTATATTATCTTTATTGGAAGCGCATCTCCAATGGAAGCGCATGTAAATCGACAACTGCATTCAATAAAATATTACTTATTTTGACCATTTCCGTAAGCGTATTAATAGAGCAAATATGGTATCGAATGAAATGATTAATTAATTTATTATGTAGATGGGATGGGATGAAGTGAGAAGCAATGAGGTGTGGATGAAAGGGAATAATTGTATAATTACCTTGGGTTGGAATGCACCATATGAATTGGAACTAAACGGGCCAGCTTGTGAGACTGGCGTTCCTGACGGTGGTCCTGAAGACACTGGTCCAGTCATTGGAGATATTCCAGCATATGGTAGTCCTAACTGTAAAAACAAATAAAAACATTAACTGTAAACTTAATTGTAAACTTATAACTTCTTGTGAACACAAAGCAGATATAAATCAGAGTAAGTTTACTCAATGAGACTGACTTATGGGTATTTGGCTGGACTCCGAAATTAGTATGCGTTACGAAAGATACGTCACCAGAGACGAATATATTAAATATAGTAGTGCATCTACTCTCAAAAAATACATACACGGATAAAATAATAGTAGAGTACTGTAAATAATTTAATAAAGTGAAGACAGTGAATGTAGCAGTGAAAATTCACCGTGGATTTCAAAAAATTCACTGGGGCTTAACAGAATGGAGTCACTGTGACATAAACGAAATTTGGCTCCCAAAAAAAACAAAAAACAAAATTTGAAAGCATCAAATCTTAAAAATTGCTACCGGTAGAAGCGAAAATTAAAGTTTACAGAATAGAGAAACAAGTGTAAGAAGAAAGACACAACACAGATTTATCCGATTTACTTACATTCTGTGAGTAAAAAGGATTGTCCAGTTTGGGATATTTATCAAACTGTAAGGCAAAATTACAAGACAGACAGGGAGGAGAAAATAAAAGAAGAGAGAGTGAGAGAAGGAAAGGAGGCAGAAAGAGAAAGAGAGAAAGAAGAAAGTTTTAGGAACTCGACCCTTATCTTGTGTAATTTAAATATTACGTTGCTACGGGCATTGATTCTTAAGTAGCATAGCTTTACCACAAATCCAATATTAAATTTGTAACTGATACATATTATGAGCTTAATCAATCTTGTAAAACAAAAATATTCAAATTATTTTTAGCTTTTTCATTGGAATCAGTTTCATGCCAATTACTCTGATGCTACTATTATAATACACAGACAGAATTTCAATTAACATTTTTGAAAAATTGTTATTGAAACTATTAAAACTTTGTGGTTTGACACATGATTGGAGAACTGAGATAGAACAGCGATGAAAAAGTATATCAGAGAATCAAGTGTAACATAACTTGATACTTAATCAGACTAGTATTACAGTGAAATATAATTGATCTAAAAATATATCGACCAAATTTCAATTCAAAATAAGCTGATAAAAACACTCAGCAACAGAAAAACATTTTATCTACATTAATTTTTCAGTTCAGAAAAAAATTACAAAAAAACCTGACAATATTTTTAAATGTTTGCAATAATTGTGTGAAGAGAACTTACCATATGTGGAGCGGGTGTCGGCACCAATGACGCTGGCGGCAAATTAAACGAATGCGTATGTTGATGCTGATGCTGATGCATGTGTTGATGTGTATGCAGTTCACTTCGCATGTAGGGCGGGGGTGGAATGTTAGCACTTCTGTCTTGTGAAGCTAAAAAACGAGTGTTCAACTCCTGTCTCAGTATATCTTGTTGAGCTGCAACCAAATATATAGTATTTAGTTGGCTGTGAAAGCAGCTGTACATTGTTGTTCAAAATCATTTAAAAAAAGTTTGAGGAATCATCGTACAGTTAGGAAGATGCACTTGTTTTTATATTCTTCATATGTGCACGATAACGAGTATTAGTCAATTGCTACTGTGTTTTTTTTTTTTTGCTCTATCAGAAGCTCATGCACATAGATAAATTACAAAGGTGTTTCTATGGTCCAAATAGGTAATATTTCACAATACAGATAATGTGATTTAGGGGTTTGTATGCAGTTCTATCGGGGCTGTGCTTCTAATAGAACAAATACAGTAGATGCACATTTCCTAGTTAATAAAATAACTTAATAAAACCCTGTTACACAAGTCATTGTCAATGACACGTCCCCGTTCCGTTCATATTTGAGTGACATATACATTCAAAGCAGATCATGACCGAAATGCACCTGCATATGTACAACACATTGTTCTAAATCTGAACAAAATCCATCCATGCATGATTAAGATCAGGTTCCGGAATTGTGAAAATACGTGATTTTGATGCATTTTCGGCCTTAAAATGGCCATCATTCAGCTATTGTTAAGCGGATCATGAAACAAATGCACATATCTATTTGTGACATGATGTACCATGTGTGTGTGAAGTTTGAACTTGATCAATCCAGACATGTCTTGGATACGGATCCAGAACTGAATTTATTCAAACAAAATGGCCACCAGTCGGCCATTTCGAACTTGATCCGACAAAAAATGACGTGCATCAAGGTCCTATTATGTTTAATGTA